GAAATTTTTTGAGCATCTTCCTCATTAAGTCTAGTTTACCCATACCAAATTTCAGCTAAAAATTCAACCGGGAAGGTAGTCAAATAATTTTCCGAAATGTACGGCGTTGTTTAACTTCACAGTTATCTTCAAAAACTCATTTGACTACCTTCCCGGTTGAGTTTTTAGCTGAAATTTGGTATGGGTAAACTAGACTTAATGAGGAAGATGCTCAAAAAATTTTATCAAAAAATTCCATCGGGAACCGCCCCAAATGGCGTCGGCCAGACAGAGCATCCGAAATATGACCTTATTTGACATTTTTTTTCGAGTTCGAGGCTCTATCTGACCCTTATCCCTATATATATATATATATATATATATATATATATATATATATATATATATATATATATATATATATATATATAGAATAGAGATCAAATACAAAGCCTTCTTAATTTACAAAGTACAAACTCATCTTGACCGTCCGATGAGTTGATCCAAAGGACATAAAGGCAAGGTGGCATTTTTGTAATAAAACTCAACTTTTTAGGGTGCAACTCGTTGCACCTTAATGTGCAACTGCTATTTTTATGACTTTATAATGTGCAATACTTTGAACCTCAATATGCAATGCAAATAACGTCAAAGTGCATCGTACAAATATTTGCACAATAAGCACACTTTGTACTTGATCTTTCCCCTATACATATATATATATATATATATATATATATATATATATATATAGTGCTCTTCATGTCAGGCCGGCCTGACGGGCTGCCCCATCCGGCCGAGCCCGTTTGGGCACCTTCCTGGTGGAATTTTTTGATGAAATTTTTTGAGCATGTTCCTCATCAAGTCTAGTTTGTCCATACCAAATTTCAGCTCAAAATTCGATCGGGAAGGTCGTCAAATGATTTTTGCAAGTTAACTGGTCCGGAAAATACATATTCCGGACCAGTTAACTTGCAAAAATTTTTTGACGACCTTCCCGATGGAATTTTGAGCTGAAATTTGGTATGGACAAACTAGACTTGATGAGGAACATGCTCAAAAAATTTCATCAAAAAATTCTACCGGGAAGGTGCCCAAACGGGCTCGGCCGGACGGGGCAGCCCGTCAGGCCGGCCTGACATGAAGTTTTCTCTCTCTCTCTCTCTCTCTCTCTATATATATATATATATATATATATATATATATATAGTGCTCTTCTCATCAGGCCGGCCTGACGGGATGCTCCGTCCGGCCGAGCCCATTTGGGCACCTTCCCGGTGGAATTTTTTGATGAAATTTTTTGAGCATGTTCCTCATCAAGTCTAGTTTGTGCATACCAAATTTCAGCTCAAAATTCGATCGGGAAGGTCGTCAAATGATTTTTGCAACTTAACTGGTCTGGAATATGTATTTTCCGGACCAGTTAACTTGCAAAAATCATTTGACGACCTTCCCGATCGAATTTTGAGCTGAAATTTGGTATGGACAAACTAGACTTGATGAGGAACATGCTCAAAAAATTTCATCAAAAAATTCCACCGGGAAGGTGCCCAAACGGGCTCGGCCGGACGGGGCAGCCCGTCAGGCCGGCCTGACATGAAGTTTCATCTATATATATATATATATATATATGATCTAGTAACTAAATAGCAAAAATGAATCTCCAAAATAAAGAACAAACAGTGACTAAAATTGAAGAACAAACCTTGAGAACAATGGAATAGAGCTGTGTCACTTCTTGAACAACACACATAAGCCTGTATTTCACCTTTCACAACTCGCATAGTGTGGTATGAACAACCATCATATTGAGTCAAGTGGAAGAACTTGAGTTTCCTTTCAACAAATTCCATGAAGAAAGTGTAGTTATGAGTACATACTTCCAACATTCCTTTCTTATTAACCCAAATGGAAGGATTTGAAGAGCTATCTCAAGTCAAAGCATGAGGAAATGAACGTTGAACAACTTATCCTCCATCAAGTTGTAGAAGATAATATGAAGAAATGAGTGCATAGCCTTAGCTTGTTCACATAGCTATGAAGGCCAATATGATGAAGCACACTCAACACTCAAAAAACACAAGTTTTTGTTATAAGATTGTTATTAATTAAGTAACACATTGTTGAGATCCAATACTCAGAACTTCTATTACTCGATCGGTCGTACTTAGAAATACTAGCACCCCACAGAATCCCGCATTGGCAAAGGGAACATCGTATTGAGCTCATAGACCAGAAACCAAGGCTGATAATGCCCCAAGGAACTAAAGTACGAAGTATTAAACAGATGGTTGGAACTAAAGTATGGAATATTAAACAGATGGTTGGAACTGAAGTATGGAGTATTAAACAGATGGTTAATGTACACACTAATAAAGGCTGGTACAAGACAGAGTCGAGTGTCGTCATATTACGCAACAATCTTAAAAGTAATCCTCGGTCCTTCCTTTGAAGCCAATCTGCCCAAAAGTGAGACAGAGGAACAACCCCAAATGCCAAGAAATCATCCATAACCTGTCCACCCAGACAAATGAAAGAATACTGTGTAAATAAAAACATTTGAAGCATGGCGCTAAAGCCGCTCATTATGATTACATGCTAACTCTTAATTACTTGCATTCTATTGTTAACTGTATTTCCTTCGTTTCTTACAGAGCTACATCTTGAAGGGGTGCAATAATAAATTAGGAACATTATATACTTAGCGGTGTCTCTTTCCTTGTCATTTTCCTTTTCATATATTCAGTTTCCTGTGTATATCGACTTAAGTGTTCTATTATAACCTTTTTATGTACAACTTCTGCAATAACATCTTAACATCTTCACCTTAATTTAAACTCTCTTAGGATCGCTGTCATAAAACTTACTACGTATATACTATTAACACCTACTAATATGATTTCTACTGCCACAAAAAAGCACAATAACAAAGTCCAATGCTGGTCGGCCTTCTTCTAGTAAACTATGACAAATCACATAAGCAATGGTAATTGTACTTAACCAGAAATCAGAGGTAAGGGCCGGGCCAGTGGGCCAATGAGACAGCTCAGTGCCAATACTCTCAAGGAAGAGCCCAGTCAAGCTCTTGCCATTGATTGCCGGAATGCTGGATGGTGCAACCCATCCTATCAGCCCAAACCCAATCACATTCAGGTCAGTCCTCAACCAGTCTCTCTCAAAGCTTCACCAATAAAAAAGGCAAAAAAAAATAAGTTTGCTTAATACAACAAAAGCGAGATTTACATAAATCAGTGTTTCTGATCTATTGCATTAAAGCTTAAGATGTGATAAGAGGCAGATAATCACCATGTGAATTTTCCATACGAGGCTTTTGGTAGCCTAAAAGGATTCCTAGGTGCTACTGAGGGTCTCAGAAAATCTGTAACAAAGAGATGCATTATATTTAGGAAAAACAGATCATACTGAGGGCTTGAGGCTCTAAGCATCTGTTAAAAAATTCCATTTTTTTCATTTATAGATTCAGAATAGATTTATTATTTATGTTATATAGTTAAAGGCTAATGTTATAATGTTCTGGCAAAGTAAAAGAATGAGTGATCTTTGATCAAGGGTGAGCAACAAGATTTCTGGAGATACTATTTACCTGAAGTGAGAGAGATTTTGCTAGGAGAAGAAACCCTTGAAGAGGTGGATGAAAGGGGGGAGGTGGCCAAGCCAAAAACAGTAGTAGATGCTGCTGTGCACATTGTTGCTGCCATTTTAGCTCTCTTCTTCCAAGTGATCTGCACCCTTAAAGAGTGGGTGGCTGAAGAAATGATAGTCTAGCAGAGGGTACAATATGGGCCAAAATTGTGCGGTAGAGAAAAAGATTTCAGTGATATAGAATCTTGAAAGAGTGAGTTGCTGAGCAATGCCATCTTGCCATGTGGAATTCTTTTGAATAGGATGGTTTTTAATTTGGATAAGTGGATTCTTTGTTGGGCCAAGAAATCATTAGACTCAAGAAAAAAATAGAGTTATGATGTTTTCACTTGTACTGAAATTTGCTGGTCTAATCTGATCTAGGTATGGACCCGGTTCGGGCCACCCGGCCCGGGAACCGGCCCGCTACTGTGCGGGACCGGCCCGACCCGGTGCCTCGGGTCCGAAACCGGTCCTTGGCCCGGTTTGAAACTTATAGCGGGGCGGGCTCGGGCTGATGAAATGGGGACCCGGCCCGGGCCCGGTTCGGGCCAAAAAAAGTTTTTTTTTTGTTTTTTCAGTTTTATTGGGCTTCTCGGGTTGGGCTTGATGTTTTGGGGGGGTTTGGGGGGTCAGGGGGTACTTAGGAAAGAAAGAAAAAAAATTACAACCAGGCCCGAGGCCCGGACCGAGACCCGATTCGAACTAGACCCGGTGGCAACCCGGATCAGTCTCGGGCCTTCCCCTTAACACAAAAGGCCCAACCGGGCCTAGGCCCGGCCCGGACCCGGTTTGGTCCATGCCTAGTCGGATCCAATAAATATCGGATCTCTATGTATTTTATAACTATACAAGTTTGAATTGGTCTTATGATCCGATCTGGTTTGCTCTGAACTAGTCTAGGATTGAAAATAATTCAAGTAAAAACATTTTAAGGTGAGCTTTTAAATTTTGAATGGTAAAAATCCTAAAAATAATATAATCACGTCAGAAAACTAAATCCATTTGATGAACACTTTGTGCAACAGAACGCGCTACATTTGGAGACTGCCCATTTTTATTAGCTCCATTTGCCTCAATACTTGAAAATTAAAATGGCTAAAAATGGGTGCCAGGTGTTTTTTGGCATATATGCCAAAATGGCATGACCGCATGAGGCCTTTGGAAGCAAGGTTGGTCTCTGACACAGAACCAAACCAATACCCATTTTTTATAGCTCCGGACCAGAACCAGTACCCATTTTTTGGCATTTTTTGTTTTTGTTTTTTAAAGTAGACCAAAAAATTCAGAACAAGACCATGGTTACCCTGTTAAGATTCTGACTGCACCCTTGCCACCCAGGTCTAGCCCTAGACTGAGGGAGTAATGGTGTGTGTGTAGCATATTGCTGTAGTATATGTTTAGGCACTATAACTACTACCCTTGAGTCTGATATCACAAAATACAAATCTACTAAAAATACTACTGAGTTATATATACATGGATCTGTCTCAGACACAGAAAATATCATGTTATCTACAGCTGCACAAGGTATCTATCGATTGGAGCAATACACATTAAACAAAAATCTCACTCCTCTAGTTGCAAACAAAAACAGTGAACATTAATTTTGGCAACAGAGTGATTCTTCAAATTCATCTTTCAATGAAGAACATTCTGCAGCGCCTGATGAACCATGTCAATAAACACATTGTCCTGCAACATTTAATTAGAGTATTGATCAGCTTCCATTCATGTCTAACAGATATCTCCCAAACAAAGTATGCATTCTGCGCTCCAACTAAAAGGGGTGTTTTGTGTGCTGACTGCTGAGGACTTAAGTGAATCGACACTACATTGTCGAGTGTCAAATTGAATTAAAAATAGGATCAATATTTAGGGAACTGACCAAAAACGTTCTAATTAAGAGCCAACTGTGTATGATGACTAAAATGGATTCAAATTTCACAGTAGAAGAACCGAATTCAGGCCAATAAGAAAATGATGCCCAAATTGAGAGTATGACTCTCAATTGATAGACCACATAGGTCACCGAACAAAATATGGTCCCCATAATTTGTTGGTAAGGAAAGCCCTGATGAAAGACTAACAAACAAGTATCATGCATGATACATCACAACCAGAGAAGGAAGGAATGAAGGATTAGGAGTAGTTGAATCATTGCAACCAAACAGTTGAATCAAAGAGAAAAGTGAAATGATAGTTTTCTTATCTAGTGGAACTATAGAAAATGATTCCTTCTGGTAACATTAATATTAGAAAAGTTTCACATGGAGGGCAACTACAATCAGTGTTTAGATTCCCCTTTTAAAATCTCTAAAGTGCATTTGAAACACGTTTTCTATTCAAAACCTGTTTGTTTAATTCTTCTGCAGTTCATAAAATACTTTTTGTGAATTTCTAAAAGTCAGTTAGTAAAAGCATATCGTGTTGTTGCTTTCTTAAAGTACATACACTTGAACCACTTTTAGAGCCTTTTATGGGTTTTTAGGATTGAAAACGAATGTGCTGTATACTCTAGAACAAATGTCTTTGGCAACATCAATTTCAAGCTTTCAGCTAAATAAACCTTAAATACTGTTTTTAAAACACAACTCGGTTACTTTCAAAACAACATTTACATTATCAAACTCGCTTTTTTAAGAACATATTCAGAGACATTCAATCACCAAAGCTAACTTTTACTAGGGTAATTTTTGAAAAAATGAACTCTAGGTAGGGTAGACTGACTTCATGTCTTCGGCCAACTGGAATAGAACACACTAAGGTATTGTATCATTACCTGAACGAGGGTGAAAAGGGCCTCACGGACCTTGTCTCTGGTAATAACAATCTCATTATTTGGAGCAACATCAGGATTAAGTGATGGAGGAGGTGAAGGTGGAGGGAATGGTTGAAGCAAAGGAGCACCATATGGGCGTTGTAGAGTTCCCGCAGAAGGCTGAAGTGGAGGAGCACCATATGGGCGTTGTAGAGTTCCCGCAGAAGGCTGAAGTGGAGGAGCAGTAGGCATGGTCGCAGACGCAGAGGTTGGAGGTATTAATAATGGAGAAGAAGCGGAAGAAGGCTGTGGACCGAAAAACAAAGATGGATTTATCAAATTTGTTGACCTCATACTGCTGCTGTCTGTTTGAGGTGGTGCGTCAAAGAAATGCATTATATGATTATATGTTGGAACAGGTGGAGTTTGGACACGCACTGCAGGCATAAACGCGCCATTATGAGTGCTTGTAGGTAAAGGGGGTGGATGTCCAGGAACTGCTGTATTGGAAGAACCCCCAATTGCCATTGCAGACTGAAAAAAGAGAAAACAACTTGGTAATGATTTCTAAATGTGCATCATCAAAAGTAAAAGCTCCATCCACGTGAAATACAAGATGAAGCTTAATAAATGGTTCATGCTTCCGCTATAAGGAATTTAGTAGTATAGAGAGGAAAAATCATACACTGAAAAAGTTCACAAAGGTATGGTCATCAGGAGCATCTCTGACATTGGCAGTGGTTGTATTTGATGGCTCCAATAGACCATCAATTACCTCCATGCTTGGAACTCCTTCCAGCTCTTCATATTTACTGCATTAACAATGACAAGTACATGAGCATTGAACATTTCTCTACAATGACATCAAGTAATTCTTTTTTGAGTAAAAAATTACTCAAACCACCCCGCAATAGAATCTTTAATCTATGCCTTCAAGCGTATATTTCGAAGCAATGGATTACACTCAGGCTGAGTTTTGTAATAATCTATATTTACTTATTACAAGAAAAATGGCATGATGTCGCTGCTCTGAAAAAAGATACCTTGTTATCTAATAGTAACAGAGAACAAATCAAATTTCTCTACTTATCTTAAGTTCCCCCATTGCAATATTCCCCTTCAGTATTATTACCTCGTGACTGGAACTACTTTTGACTTTGTAGGCACCCTTGAATATGCATTGAATATCCTGAATGCAAGTAAAACATCAAAACCTCCAATTACAGTCCTACCTGTTACCGTATCCAAGACTTTAAGTAGAGCACAAGAGGTATTAATGTGTGTGCAAATTAAAAATGGACATCATTAAAAGTACTCTGCATCCCATACCCAACAGAAACTGATTAGATAATGCATCAAATCTAGACAATGGTTCAACATGAATGACAATTATAAGCTCCTTTTACATTCAAACACATTATCCACACCATAACTAAGTATAAAAGGTCCTGGTTATCATCAACCACTACCTTAATTAGTCTAACAGAAACAGTAAAATATATGGAATATTTAAAAAACTCAGAAACAATCACATATTAAAAAATTCGCTCAAACTAATGTAGTAATTAGCGATTGATGCCTCAAAATTTAAATACTGAAATGTGATAATAGCATGCTCCCAAACCACCATGAAAGTATTGAAAAGGTTGTAGTTCCTATATGAGTTGTGAAAGGTCTAGAAAGCAGATATTAAAGTGACTCCTTGTGTTATCATTTACGCAGCACAGCTTGATACAAGTTTCAAAAGAAATAACCTTCCTCGTTCAACTCTTAAATGCAAAAATCATACAGAAAAACAAATAGACTTGCCTGGTGAATAGATTTCCAACCTCTTCACATTCATGTTCATAGTAAAACCATATTCCATTTACTTCCTGGGCAGAATTCCGGTATAATAAATATGGCGTCTGGACCTCGAACTCAAAATCTCCCAAAAGATCCTCAACTAAGTTGTCTGTGTATCATGAAAGAACTTATAATTTCAATTAAATCGTACATAAAATGCCCTGTCATACAAAACTATATTTGCAACATGTTTATCATTCGCATCGTACAGGATATAAAAGAAAAACAAAGGCCCTTTTAGATAGATCTCAACAATTAATAAGTTTTTTAGTACTCCCATAAAAAACATCGATAGACATGTACCATTTCTGCACAAACATTAGAGCACACACGCTCAGATATGTATGTGGCATGGATTTGGATCCTTTGAGGTAACTGTGTGGTGTAATTGTTGGGTTTTAATCGGTCATTCATTGGTCGTTATGCATGCATGCAATGGAGTTTTAAGTTATTTTAATTATGTGTTAGTTAATATTTATTATTTTGATTTGGTATTAGTTTGACCAATTTAAGTGGAGTGGATATGGAGAGTGGGTAGAGTGGTAGCTAACCATTTTCTTTTAGTCCCTATTTTCTAGTTTTGCATGTTTACCATTAGGGTGTTTGTAAGGCTATATATGCCTCATGTTTCTTTATGAATTAATCAAGATGGTGCATTACTTAATTTTTCCTATGCTTCTCCCTACTTCTTTCATCAACCACTTGCTGTTTTTTAATTAATATACAAGAAGCACATTAATTCACATTTATTAGCTTCCAATTTCCAACAGTAATTACTACCAGGAGGGTCCATATTAGTTAACTACTTAACTCTACTGTGATGTTACTATTGAGAATCAGGATCCTATTTAGCATATTCAGGAATCAGGACAATTAAAACAATTTGGCCCGAAATCTAAAGATTGAACTGAAAAAGTCCATCTTAGGGTGACTTCTCAAAGACATTCACGCAAACTTATGAAGACCATAACCAAATAAATATGAAGCCTAAAATACAACAGACCTGCATGTCTACGATTCATTACGATAAACCGGAATCTAGGCTGAGACGTCCTGCAATTCCCACAGACGTTTTAAACTATATCAATTATCAAGTAAACAACATAACAAAGATCAGTGTACCACAATGGAAAATACACAGCCCATTCCAGTCAATACTTCACACTATTAAACTCTTACATTTTAGCGGTAAAAAAAAAAAGAGGGCTGCTGCTAGTCTGCTACCGAGAAGTTAGGGAAATAAAACATTAAACCCCCGGAGTTATTTCGAACCGAAAAATAGAACTTTCAAACGAAACCCACCTCTTAACAACAAAGAGAGATCCTTCGACATCCTTTCGACTCTGAAAACAAAAAAAAAAACAAGAAAATCAAATTTGCAACAAAAAAGAACAAAATAGCATTCGCATCGGTGAAAAATTCAAAGCAGAGAGTATATGTAAGTACCCATTGGGTCGCCGCGGTATTAAATTCGTAGAAAGCGACGTGAACTGCGGTGAGGAGAATCTCCTCGACGAATGGATCCATCCGTTGCAGAACGGTGAGGTTCAGCAGCTTCGTGCTGTTCGGGTCAAGATATGGCATCAATTTCCCGCGCTGCGGCATCGCTCTTCTGTCCGGTGCTACCCTAGCAATGGTGGTTCAAACGCCTAATGTACTACTCACTCAGTGTCTTTGTTTATCTACTCCGAGTACAAACTCATTATATTCTCCGTGCTATACAAGGCACACCGCGATTTGAGACGGGGAGAGATCAGCGATGAGCAGGGATATAACACGTGTGATGACTTAAAAAAAAATAACCAATGGTAAAATGTGCACGATGCACACGTGGCATGAGAAATAACCACATAAATATTAGTAAATAAATTCTTTCTCTCCTTATTTGAATGATTTTATATAGTTTTGGTACATTTTTCTCCACAATGTCAAGTAGACCGTCTAGATGTTGACATTGTTGTTAACATTGCAGGAAAAAACTTACCAAAATGGTGTAAAATCATTCAAATAAGGAGAGAGATTATTTATTTTCTAATATTTATGTGGCTATGACGCATGCCACATGTGCACCGTGCACATTATAGCATTGGAGATGCTCTAACAGCCGTTGACCGTGGTAAGGGTGGAATTCGAGTTGGACCGTGATAAGGGCAGAATTCGAGTTGGACCGTGGTAAGTTATATCGTATGACCGACATACCATGCGCATGGTATGCCGATCCAAATACAATACCGTTTCTTTAGTTAAGAACAAGGTTACTGCATTTTTCTTTCCCCACCACCTTTTCGTAAGCATTACTTTCCCTTCCGGCCTTCTTCCCCTTCGTTTTTCTAGTTGCCAAACCTTCCTCTCCTTGTTTTTTTATAAATAAATATTATTCTAGTCATTTCCTTTCCTCTTCGTTTTTGTGGTTGTCACCCTTCTTTATAAATATTTTTCGTTTTTTTGAAAGCTTATAAATACGAGTATTTTTCTAGTCGTTCTCTTTCCTTTTTTTTTTTTACTTTTTTTTTCAATTATCTTCATCTCCACTATTAAAATATTAAAAATATGATTACAATTTCTTTTTTCTATATTTTTTTCTGAAAAATAATTTTTTTTATCATTTTATGTGTTTTTAGAGGGTTTTAAGACATTGAGTTAGTTTATATTTATTCTTGAAGTTACATTTGATACTATATCATGAAATTACATCATCTTCTACGCAACTTACATCTTAATGTATGCGAGTTACATCTTAATATGCGCGGGTTACATCTTAATGTATGCGAGTTACACCACGGAATAAACCTCTGCTATGTCACTTTTACTGCCCTAATATTAAAAAAAACATATTCACTATTTATAAAAAAGTAATTAAGGTGTTAGGATCAAGTTTTCATTGTTTACATTGAAATCAATGTTTATAATATCTCAAACACACACAAAAGTCATTGTTCAATTTTTCAACAAGTTACATTCCGTATACACCTAAGTTACATTTGCTATCAACGCGAGTTACATTTGTAATAACACGAGTTACATTAAAAAATCAACTCTTGCTATTGAAAAAAAATGATCTTTTCTAAAATATTATTTTTATGGCCATGATATTAAAAACAAAACATATTCACGTTTTACCTAAAGCAATTGTGCAATTAGACTCTCTTTTTTCATTGTTTACATTGAAATCAATAGTTTATTTCTTATACTATGTATTTTGACAAGTTACATTTCGAACGGGCTTGGGTTACATTGATCAATAACGCGAGTAACATATCTTTACACGCGAGTTACATCATTCATGCTACTGGGAGTCTGGGACAAAACAACGTTATTGTACACGCGTGTACTGTTCACGCGATTTTTTTATTTAGTAAAATTGTGCAAAACTACATCATTTTGGAAGTGGGAACATGATGCTCATGGTGGGCCGGTTGCACGGTATAGGATCTGGTAGAATTCGAGTTGGATCGTGATAAGCGCGATTTGCTAATATCGAATTTTGCAATTTATTTTGAAAAAACTTTGATTTCACACTTCATCGTGTAACATTTTGTAAAGAAATTTTTTGAAAAAATGGTCAATTGAGTACATCAATTTGTATAAGTTGAAATAAAGAGTACACTATATTGCATTTGAGATTTCTAAATACATAAACTTAGTTTTTGAGTATTAATTGAGTACATCTGTTAGGTTAACACGTTAATATAACTGAATCAACAAATGGATTGATGAGTAAGAGAGAAATTGACCAAGAGAAGGTCGACCAAGATTCTGGCGTCGACTTTCAAGAAGTCGATAAAAAAAGAAGAAGTGCATGCTTGGCAAACATAAGTCTCTGCCTTCTAGCTTTTGTGATGTTTAAAAAGCCTCTGAAAGCTTTTAGTTGTATGTTTGGCAAGATAAATTTTAAGAGCTTTTGAAAAAAATAAAAGATCTTTTTTGAGATCATACGGGGAGTAGCATATGAGAAAAGACCGTGACGTTTAGTATTAATTTGTCCTAACAGCTTGTATACCAAACGGAACTAAATCAAAAAGTCGGCTTTTTACCAAACAACTACCACTTTTTTTTTAAAAAATCTTTTCAGTCACTAAAAGCTAACAGTTACTAAAAACTCACAAAAGTATTTTTTTCAGCTAGACGTGTCAAACATACCCTTCGGTAGTGTGTCGAAGTGGGAGTGTATCGACCAAGGTGAAGTAAACATGTGGAGGCTGGTGTCGACCTAGGGGTTGGGGGCTGGTGTCGACCTAGGGGTTGGGGGCTGGCGTCGACATTTAAGATGTCGGCCTATTAGCTAAATCAACCGTATTAACGTTTTAATCTAAAAAGTGTACTCAATTAACACTAAAAATCCAAATATATGTACTTAGGAATGTCAAATGATTTTTAAGTGAAATTGGTGCAAAGTCAAGTTTAAAAAAAAAAAGATGTAGAGTCCAATATCAGCCAAAAAGTGAGATGTAAAGTCAATTTACCCTTTAAATGTGTATATAAGTATAGAAAACATCGCAAAAAATGGCGTCATGTTTGGATAAAGTTTTATATATATTATTTTGATTTGGCATAATTATTAATTAAGTGCTTGAAAAGTAAAAGTTATGATTGAAAATTGAGTATATTAAAGTAAGATGATGTGGACTACATATTTCTTTCTAGAAATATGGCACTTATTTTGGGACAATTAAAAAAATATAATAAGACATGTAAAATGAGACGGGATGCCCATTACTTTACCAAACAATCTAGCAAGTTACTTTATCAATTTTTTACTTTCTTATTATATACTCGTATGAACTTTTTGCAAAACAATTAAAAACTTAACATGTTAACATAAATTTAATGTTGTTGTGTCGCAAAACTTTTAAAACTGTGTTGCAATTTTTATTTAATAAATGATCTTATCTGTACTTAATAGATTAAATTTATTATTTTGTAATTATGGCATACACAAAGTCATACAAACAATAATAAGTGATCTATATTTATTTAAATAAGCAAACCATTTTTTGAAAAACATGTAACACATTCTTAACATATTTTTTTCATTAAAGTTCGATTATTATTATTTTTCACTATCTTGTGATGTAAGCTCATTGGGACATGGTTTATTAATATAGTTTGATGATTTTCTTTAATAACCCCATAATTTTACGGATTTTAGGCAGTTTATCAGATTATGTCGAATTCAGTGTTACTAGACGGACACTTAGTTTTGAAGACTTTTTAAAACAAAAGGCAATCTTTATATAATATAAAGTAACAAAGTTGAGGCAACAATTGGAGGGAAAAATCCCGCCCAAAATAAGGGTAAAATAGTAAATTTATGAAAAACATAATTTGGTAACTAATTGTGTTAAGTGTATGTTAGGAAAGAAATGAGTAATTAATATTCAGGAGTTTTTTTTCGAATTAATGCTAAATAAAAAATATTTACAAAATTAAGGTCGGGCTAAAAGTATTTAACAAAATACTGCTGGGTCTAACCATGGTAGGAGAAAGTCGCCAAATGGTTTGGCGACTCTTGCATGCCAAATACGAACTACAGACGGACGGGGAAGCTTAGGCAAGGAAATTATATACAAAAGTGTGGGCCCCATTAGATATAAAAACCACTTTTTTCTTTAACAGTCAATAACTTTTTCGTTTTCGCTCCACTTTTTATAAAAAAATATACCAAAATTCATGATTTTTTATTATCTTTCATTTGACACTAATATTGGATATATAAACTTTTAAAAAAATTGAAGGCTTATTAAACAATATTCTTATTTTCCAATCTCTGTACGGATGATTTCAAAACAATAATTACACATATATGACTAGAATAAAGATTGTTTACAAAATTGTGACTAGGGTAGTAATGAAATTATAGCCATCTATCTTCAATTTTAAAATTTAAGTTAGCATGACACTACATTCTAGTAACTATTAGTCATATTTGTGTAAATAAACTTTGTTTTATTTAATTTTAGCAACAAATAAACTCTTATTTAATATTATATAAACAAATAATTCATAAGACAATGTCTTTTTAGACAATGTCTTTTTAGACCGAAAACTCTTATAGACAATGTCATTTTAGACTTACCAGGCTTATTAGACAACTTCTGTCTAAAATGACATTGTCTATAAGAGTTTTCGGTCTAAAAAGACGTTGTCTTCTTATGAATTATTTGTTTATATAATATTAAATAAGAGTTTATTTGTTGCTAAAATTAAATAAAACAAAGTTTATTTACACAAATATGATTAATAGTTACTAGAATGTAGTGTCATGCTAACTTAAATTTTATAATTGAACATAGATGGCTATAATTTCATTACTACCCTAGTCACAATTTTGTAAACAATCTTTACTCTAGTCATATATGTGTAATTATTGTTTTGAAATTGATGGAGTATTAGTTCTAGAGAGAAGTGAGAGCTAGAGAGAGAAAGTGAGTAATTGTATTTCTCAACCCCCTATAACTAGCCCCAAGGGGTCTATTTATAGGTAAAAATGTGGGTTTGGGCCCCTAGCCATGGGCTTAGGAGGCCCATTACAATAATCATGCCTTCTTTGGGCGAAATAGGGCCACTAATGGGCTGTGTACAATACTTAGTAAATAAAGTAGAGAGATGCATTCTGCCAGGGTGAACTGTGGCCGATGCGGCCCTTTGGCCGATGCGGTCCCATGGCCGATGCGATCCATGAGCCGATGCGGCCCCCCGGGAGT